TCCATCCCCACAGGATTATCCCGGAGTGATCCCTGCCCGCTCCATCCCCTCAGGATCATCCTGAAGTGATCCCTGCCCGCTCCATCCCCACGGGATCATCCCGGAGTGATCCCTGCCCGCTCCATCCCCCCAGGATCATCCCAGAGTGATCCCTGCCCGCTCCATCCCCCCAGGATCATCCCAGAGTGATCCCTGCCCGCTCCATCCCCCCAGGATCATCCCAGAGTGATCCCTGCCTGCTCCATCCCCACAGGATTATCCCAGAGTGATCCCTGCCTGCTCCATCGCCTCAGGGCTCCTGCTGATCCCGGTTAACCCCGGCAAGGAGGGAAAGTCTTTGGGAAGGATTTGAGGCTCGTTAGGCAGAAGTGGTGACGGTAAAACAGGTCCCAGCAAAGTCTGACAGGACCTCGGGGCAGGAAAAGCCGAGCCTTGTTAATCCCCCTGCACGTCCTTTTCCAGGTCACAGAGCCCGGGGCAGGAGGGAATGGAGTCGGGAGGGTTTTGTGCCTGACAAAAAGGGGGATACAGGGGCTCATTCCACCCGGGAAGCAGGGACCGAGCACCTGCCCTGCACCAAAACTCTTCCAGGGGGTGAGGGATCGTGGAATGGTTTGGGCTGGAAGGGAGTTTCAGGATCATCCTGTTCCACACCTCCCGCTATCCCAGGTGGCTCCAAGCCCCGTCCAGCCTGGCCTTGGACACTCCCAGGAATGGGGAGTCCTCTGGGAAATCCATTCCAGGGCCTCCCCACCCTCCCAGGGAAGGATTTCTTCCCAATATCCCATCTAACCCTGCCCTCTGGCAGTGGGAAGCTGTTCCTGAAAGCGGGAGATGCAGGAAAAGAGGGGGAATGTAGGAAAAGAGGTGGGAGAAGTGCCCTCGTGCCTCAGCAAACCGCTCTGACCAGTATATCCCAGTTCAAAACCAGAAGCCACAGGTGGGGCTGGACTGGAAAACTTCTCCACCTTCCAGTTACCACTTTCCACGCTCCAAAGGCCGAGCATTCCCTCCCACTTTTGCCCCAATTCCCGTGAATTCCAACTGCCACTTTTACGTCAAATCCAATAAATTCCCTCCGGCGCCTTTGCACCAATTCCAATAAATCCCCGTCACCGCTTTCATATCAGTTCCTGTAAACCCCCATCACTGGTTTTCCATCAATTCCAATGACTTCCCATCACCTTTTGTGCCTCATTCCCAGCACAGGCTCCCGTGCAGGAGCAAATCCCGGGATGGGCACGGCCGTGCCGAGGAGGGTGGGAGGGATAATCCGTGCAGAACTCCCAGGCCAGGATGGGCCACGTCCCTTCCTGCAGGACTAAACCTCCCTGGGATTAGATCCATGGGGACAGGACACTCTGGTCTGGCTGAGGAATAAGCTGTGGGAACAGCACTGGGAATTAGGGATGGGACAGACGGTGCCTCGGCCCGTGCCGGAGGTTTTCCAGCCGGATCCGCACTCGTTGGGGTTTATTGTGTGTTAAAGGAATAAAATCCCTTTGATCAGGAGGGAGAGAGAGAGGGAGAGGGAGAGGGAGAAGAGAGGGAGAGGCAGAGGTGGAAGGAGAGGGAGAAGGAAAGGGAGAGGAGGAAGGAGCTTGGTCGTGCCGGAATATGAAGGGTCGGGAACAGCGGCGGGTTCCAGCCCATCCATCCCCATCCCACAGCTCTGCTTCTCCCCCACGTGCAGGGATGAGACCCCTGCTCTGCTGGGAGGTGTCCCTGCCCACGGCAAGGAATGGAACCAGAGGGGCTCTAAAGTCTCTTCCAATCCAAACCATCCCAGGATTCCACGTCGGTTCCACCGCTGTTTGTGCCGGATGTGCCATGAGCAGGGAGCAGGAGACACCCCAGGCTGGGGGTGACAGCTCCCTAAAAACCTCAAACTGCCCCAAAAACTCCTTTCCTGCCCTAAAAACATGCTGGGGCTGCTGCTGGGACTGCCCAGCTCCGTCCATGCCGGACACACCATGTCCATCCCAAACCCTGTCTGTCCATCCCAACCCCTGCCTGTCCATCCCAAACCCTGTCTGTCCATGCTGGACACACCATGTCCATCCCAACCCGTCTGTCCATC